TAGGGAAACAGAGTACTTGGCTACATTACAGGTACCTTAATTAAAGTTGAAATCTCTTTAAAAATCAATTTACTTAATCTGTTGCAAAACAATGGCCTTGTACAGACATTCAGTTTCTTCTGGAGGAGTCACTACTCTCCCAGCAGAAACCAATGTATACAGATTTTCAGACCTGTTCTCCAAGAAGAAAAATAACCTGGGTACAACAAGGGTTAAATCACTTCCAGGAAAGTTTCTCCTGGGAAATAATATATCTGTACGCTGTGGCTTCTCTCAGAAGAGAACATAATCCTGTAGCATCTCCTTGCCCTCCCTTTCCCCTCACCATCCCCTTCCCCCCTCCCCCCCCAGCAGGGAGGCAGTGTGTTGCTCACTGTACTCTGCTTCTCCAGCAGGGGGCCGAACATGCCTCCTTCACAATCCCTATATTATGCTGGAAGGAAACATAGGCTGACCATGGGCAGTCTGGGTCAGTCAGTCAGAGCTACCCTATGTGCTGCTGCCATCTGTCACCAGGCAGACTAACCTGGCTACACAGTGTCAGCACTGCAAGCTCTCTCCTCTTCAGGGCCTCAGCCTGCAGCTCTGGGTAAGTTTTTCTACCAGGAGAACAAAACTGGGAGAATTCTCCCAGATTATTTGAATGTGCATATGCAGCCAGTGTGGATGCTTCTTAATCAAGTTTAAACTAGATTTAAATTAAATTTAGCTAAAGCTGATTCCATGCATAATTAATCTAAATCAGTATTAACCAAATTCAAATCAGACCAAGATTATCCACACTCTATTTGTATCAGTTTAACAAGGTTGTTTCCTAATAAGCCTTTAGTTAGTGCAGCTCTGAATATAGAAAAGGTCAGAGCTTTTTTTTCTAATTTGTTTATTTTCTTGCCAGTACATTTATATATGTCCTTCCAAGTTCCACACCCATACATTTTACTGTCATTGGAACTATATATAATGTCTGGTCCTGTTGAACTTTAACTTCAGAAGGTCTCTGATTGTTGTGCTATTAGCTTTAGCAATTGTACTAACAAGTTTCAAAACATAGTATACCATAATGGCTCTAGTATTAGCAAATGCAGTTGATAGACCTATCTTATCAATAAAATGCCGATTATTTTGTTCATTGTTGGCACTTTGCATTCAAATCAGATTTTTATGAAGATTTAGGGGAAATGTTATGTGAATTTAAATGAGTTTAAGCTGAGATTGCAGTTCATTATTGTTATGACTATTGAGATTCAGCCCCCTGAACCAATCATCTTTGTAAGCAAATGCAAATAGAAGAACTATTGTGAATGTATGTGACAGTTAAAGAAAAAGTCTCAAACAGTTTTGGTAGCAGTTTATGACTAAAAAAAAAAATATAGACTTAGAGGTGCAAAAAGGTTTTGTGAGGAATCAGCTGAATTTGCTTTGTCTGCATTAGTTTGTAGTGTGAACACACAGAGCATAGGAGATTTTTCCCATAGAATTACAAATGGAGTTTTCTTCCATGCTGAATGGCCATGTTGTACCAGTTAATCTATGCCTTCTGTATAGAAAGTGCTGAGCTAAAAGCCTGGACAAGTAATGCACTGAACTGTAGTATTGTTTGTGTTTTGCCAATAAAGGTTTAAAGGAGCAAAGTGAATTTTCTACCATAATGGAATTGGTTTTCAGTCTTTGTAATGCATTTGTCTTTCAGTCTCGCCTTACTGCTATGAATGGCTTTGTCAGTGGACTCTGCTTTGTATCGTTGGCAATGGCTGGTGGCTGAAAGATCCTCAGAGACTTTATCAGAATCGACACCTCTGCTGTCTGCTGTCAAAGATGGGCTGAGATACAACTTAAACAAATGGCGGGTTGTGTTTCCTAACAATGGGAGACTTCAGAAAGATTGGGAGATTATTTCTAGGTTTTATGCTGGAAATGGGATACGGACCACAAAGTATACCTGGTTCACCTTCTTGCCCCAAAATCTCTTTGAACAGTTTCACAGGTGCGCACACGCCATAATTAATTAAATGATTCATTTGCTATAAATACTGACACCTGATTATTGATCTGGTTTGGATTTTTTGTTTGTTTGTTTGTTTGTTTCCCCCTTTTGCAGGGGATTGAGGGTGGAAGAGGGAAATAATCCCCTCCCCATTTTTTGCTGTGGGTTGGTTTTTTTCATGAGAATCTAGGTGACAACTACTTAATCTTCAGACATCCATTGGAAACAAATATTGACTGGTTAACTAAAGAATAGGCCACTAATTTAAAGCAAGCAGGTGCTAAACAAAGAAGACTATACAAATGTATAGGCCAGGAATTTGCTTTTTTGAACCTGTGGCCTGCACCCCATATGGATGTCAGTCAGTGCAGCCCTCTATAAAAAAAATCCTTTAGAGTTTAATTTAGAATGCTGTTCTTGTACTTATTAAAGAAGTCTGCCAAATTTGGGAATTATGTCATCTACTAAGGATAAAATGCTTTTAAGAGGTTTTTGTACTATCTGTAACATTCTATATTTAAAAATCCTCTAAAACCCTATAAAATCTAAAAAAATATATTAAAATGTCATAGAACTATATTCAGTTCATCCATATTCTTCTATATTGTACTTATTTGTAAGGGTTGGCCAGAGCTAGATTGTATGTCCAGATCAGTCTTTTACATTAAGTACTGGCTATGAAAAGGGAGACCTAGGCATGATGAATCTTGCTATGGGTACTCAATAACTGATCAAGGTAGATGAAAGCTGCCTACCCAACTCTCACTTGGAAATATCCATTTTGTAATATTACCATTAGTAGTTAAGAGTCCTATCATATGATTTCCATTTTTCTTTTTCTTTATCTAATTATTTTTAAATTAGACAAATATTTATATATTTATAAATTATTCAAAGACTGTGTGAGAGTTCCACAGTCTTTGAATATGTGGTCTCAAAACTCCTTTGTTGAAAAAATCAATTGTAGTCCCTAAATAAAATACATATCATAGAATCATAAAAAGTTAGGGCTGGAAGGGACCTCAGGAGGTCATCTAGTCCAACCCCCTGCTCAAAGCAGGACCATCCCCAACTATCACCAGCTATCATCACAGGCAAAGCTTTGTCTAGCTGGGTTATGAAAACCTCCAAGGATGGAGCTTCCATCATCTCTCTGGGTAACCTGTTCCAATGTTTTACTACCCTCCTAGGGAAAAAAATCTTCCTAATATCTAACCTAAACTTCCCTTGCTACAACTTGAAACCATTGCTCCTTGTCCTGTCATCTGCCACCACTGAGAACAATGTAGCTCCATCCTTTTTTGAACCCCCCTTCAGGTAGCTGAAGGCTGCTATTAAGTCCCCTCTCAGCCTCCTCTTCTCTAGACTAAATACGCCCAATTTCTTCAGTCTTTCCTTCTAAGTCACATGCCCCAGCCTCCTCGCCATTTTCATTGCCCTCCACTGAGCTCTCTCCAATTTGTCCATTTCCTTCCCGTAGTTGGGGGCCCAAAACTGAACACAGTGCCCCAGATACCAGTGGGTGCATCTACATGTGGTGATTTAAGGTGCTTTATGCAATGTAGGTGAGGGCTCAGCCTTGGATCAAGGGAGCCAAGGAGAGAGCTGAGTCCCATCAAGGGAGCCAAGGAGAGAGCTGCATTGCACCCAGCCTGCTGGGGCTGAGCCACACAGAGCCCCCAGGAGCTAACACCACTTCTCCCATCCACAGTGTCCAGCAAGGAGGCTGGGTGCTTCCCCAGGACAGAAGTCAGTGGAGCAGGGAAAGCCATGTTGGGTGCTGGGGGCAGACGCAGTCCCAAACTGCTTGCTGTCCAGGGCGGGAGCCCCAGCGTGGGCATCTAAGTGCACCTGAATCCGAGGCAGGGACCTGCAGGGCTGCATTGCCTGGCCAGCAAACCTGCCCCAAGGGAGAAGCATAGGGAAGCTAGCAAAGGACCTACCCGGCTGCACTGTCCTTTTCCCCTGCAGGGAGTTGTGGGGGGAGGAAGGCCTTCCCTTGTGCTTTGACAGGAGCCATCATGCTTTCTGCCCCCTCTGCCAACTTACTGCACACTGACAGGGACTACTCACCCACCACATCTTGCCAGCACCCGGCAGCAGCATGGGGCCCCACAGGTTCAGCTCTAGCCTGCTGTTATCCAACACTGGAGAGGCAGGAACACTGGAAGGGAGTTAGACCCTGGGCTGGGGCCAAGGCCAGGGCCGAGGCCAGGGCCAGGCCAACTGCATCCAGAGGTACTGGAGGCTTCCACCCCCTCAGCTGGCAGTGGGCTGCACTGCTCGGCTACACTGCCATAGGCTTCCAGTGGCTGTCCAAGGTGCTGACCAGGGAGGCTGCCCAGCAAGCCACATTAAGGTGCCTTAAGGTGTTCACATGTAGATGCACACCTAAATCGCCTTAATGAGCCTTAGGTTAAGGCACATTAGGTTTAGGCACACGTAAATTCATGTGTAGACATGCCCAGTGTGACCACAGTGGCAGGAATGAGAGGAGCTATTAAGGAAACACTTTAGTATTTTTAGATTAAAGAAATTCACATTAAAATTAATCTAATCTCACTACTCTATAATAGTTAGAGTTGGCAAGATTAAATTAGTTATTCACTCACAGAATCCAGTAGAGGAAGTATGGAGACATCACTGTTTAGTAATAAAATAATTAATTGTTGGGGAAGGAAGGATTTGGAAAGAATGTGAGAAAAGGAATGTTTATTTGAACAACAGATGATGTGAATCAGGAAAAGATGCATTTAATTTATTCCTGTTTTTCATTTCCTTTTGACATTCTCAGGTTGGCTAATCTCTATTTCCTCTTTCTGGTGGTCCTAAACTGGTTCCCACAAGTAGAAGTTTTCCACAGGGAGATCACTATGCTACCTTTGTGTGTGGTACTGCTACTAATTGCAATTAAGGATGGCATTGAAGACTACAAGAGATACAGATTTGATAAAACAGTAAACTCCTCTAAAACCAAAGCATATGATAAGTAAGTAGAATAAAATAGGGTTTTTTTTCTATATTATCTATTACAATCTATTCTATTTTTTTTTACAATAATTTTATCCCATTTGAGCAAAGGAAATTAAATTATTAAATTGGAAAAACTTATTCTGCCTTCAAGTATTAAGACATAGAGCTATGAATAATGTTTTAGTGTCACATATGTCTCTTGTAACTATCATAAGTGGGTAATCTTATTTTGGCACACAGGAAGTGTACCCTGATACAATACTTTTCATTCAAACTTTTCAAATTTCTCAAACAACAAAAGCATCAGAACACCTTAGTAAGCAAGCAAAGGTTCTGTTGGAAAGATGGAGGATATTATACACATTGATGAAATGCAGCCAGGTGGAATGAAACTTTGCAACTTTTTAACAAAACAGAACAACATTATTTAGGTATTATATTGAAGCAGGAAGTGAAGAATTGTGTGTGTCACTGAAACCATCAGAGGAAATGTCCATAAGGAGGCTGTATTCAAGATGGAACATGTCCAGGATATCCAAGTGAAGACCACATTTCTTCCAAAAAGTGCAGTGGTATTTCCATGACCATGTTTGTTCAATATTTCTGAGTTTCATTTGAATGTCTGTGCTTTCAAAAATTCAGCACCTGTGAACTGTATGCTGACGTATTTATTCATTCAAGACTGACTCAGAAGGAAGAGATTGTTTTCTTCTACCTTAGTCACCTGTAATACCTCCTGCAGTACAACATGTAGGTCAGTGGTTTTCAACCTTTTTACTTTTAAGGCACCCCTCATTAGACTTGAGACACCAGCTCTTAGCTTTCACTCATTTTTTTTCACTACAGAAAAATAATAGAGTGATTCTGCTGTTGCAAAGAACTCAGAAAGACCATAATAGCTCAGAATGCTTTTAATACTATTAATTCCTATTCAAAATTCCTAGGTTTATCTTGTGAATCGTATTTTCATATCGAAGAGTGCTACCATTGTGTAGCACTCCACAGCACCTTTGAAAGGATCTCAAGGCACCCCAGAGTGCTACAGCACACTGGCTGAGGATCTCTGACCTAGGTACTTGTCAGAGGTCCATTGTCCAAGTATTAACCCAACTAAATCCCAGGTAGCTCTCCACATCTGATAGGACTGGAAGGGAAAATAGTCAACTTGCTTTAAAAGAGGGGAATTTACATGCAAGTTCTTTTGTCAAGAGAGATTTTTTTTTCTGTATCTCTAGAGATAAAAGCAAATAGGCAATGAGAGCAGTTACATGGGTTGAGATCCATCTCCAACTGAAGTTATCAGTAATCTTCCATCAATTTCAGTCGAGTCAGAATTTTGCCTACAACCTTTGACCCGTCTTACTGGGAATAATTTTATCTACCAGTAATTTCACAAAGTGTGTTTCAGAAAAGCTTGAAAAGAATTAGGTGTATATATTTTTGTTCTACAACAAAATAAGGAAGTTTATCTATAAATAAAATAATTTGCTGGCAAATTGCTCTGAGTAGGATGTCCAGCGATACATGAACATGCATAATAAAACATTTAAGGAGTGCTGTTGTTATCAGTGACCTGCAACTAGGCAGTCTCTAGGACCCAGAATCAGCCTGTTTTACAGGTGGGTGCTACCTGCCTGTGTGACGTCTGTATTTCAACAGGTATTGTTTTCAATTAAGTGAAAGACAGTAATCAGATCAGGGAAACTTAGCTCCTCACTTCACTGCTTTTCAGTTAGTCTGGCTTTTGTAACCACCATAACTTATTTATTATACTTAAAGCTACATTTTAAGGGGAAGTAAGATGACAATGAATGATGCTCTACGCTGCTTCTCTTTGAAGATCATAAGGAAAAAACTTTTTTTCAAGAAAGCATGCTGCCAGCATGTTGCTTCAGATTCTGAAACACAAAATGAGGAGCTGGAGAAAAGAGGGCAAGAAAGGAAAAGAAAGAAGAAAAATAAAACTAAGAGGATGATTGTCTCCAACTTGCCCTTTGAAAGCAACATGTGGAAAGAGAACCCAAATAGGTATTATGACTCTAATAAAATTAAGACCACCAAGTACACCATCCTCTCATTCATCCCAAAGAATATATTTGAGCAGTTTCACCGCTTTGCCAATGTATATTTTGTGGCCATTGCCTCACTGAATTTTGTGCCAGTGGTTAATGCTTTTCAACCAGCAGTTTCTTTGATCCCAATCTGTATTATAATGGCCATTACCGCAGTGAAAGATGCCTGGGAGGACTTCCGGAGATACAAATCAGACAAAGAGATCAACAGTATGGGCTGCCTCATTTTTAGGAAGTAAGTAAATCCTATAGTTTTTATGCATGTGCCAAAATTTGGATGGAATTGTGGGTTTTCTTTACAGAAGAGTCTAAATGAATCAAATAATTGTTGGTAAGTGACAGTTTTTGGATAAAACATTTGCCTTATAGGAATTAAGGAGACTTCAGTTTTACTTGAATGGACATTTCAGTCACTGAGGAAAAGTTCAAGTTGTTTGAAGCTCAGTAATAAACCAATGGTATTTAATTATCTAACTTCATCTTTAAGACATTAATTTTATATGGGTCTTAGGTGCCTCTGTATCTTTGTTAGGTGCCTTGGGGCATTTGTGCGATTTCCAAAAATCCCTAGCACCTTCAATGTGATTTTTATAGGGGCATACCTACATTGTTTGATGTCTGAATTGTTTTAAGAATTTGGCTGTTAGAATTTTTTTTTTAAGTTACTCTAAAGTATCGAGGTTTATGTGTACAGCAGAGTTTTATTTCTTTCTGGATAGTGTTTTTATATAGATTGAAGTACCATTTTAAAAACTGTTGAAATAAGCCTTAGTTTTAGCAATGGATAAATTAGTCAAATTAGTTGGATGCAGCTTGAAAGTGTCTCATGTCCTCTTGCTTTTGGAGTTTTTTTTAATGTAAATGTTTAAAAACTCTTTATAAACAGCAACCATTCTCAAAGTGAAGTAGAAAATGACTTCTCACTGATTAAAATACTGCATTCATGAGGGAAGAGAAACATCTTCCCAGTATTCTTGAACAACGGTCCTTAGGCCTAAAATTAATCAACAGCACTTATATAGTGTCAGCAAAGATGGGTTTCAGATGTGCTAAGCTCAGTGAAGTTTGCCAATTGCTATTTATTTCCTAGGCAGATATGTCTGTAAATGACAAGACTTGCAGTTTAGTCCATTTTTATTTTCATACCGGTTTGCTTAAACAGGAATTAATAAATTTGTTTATACACTAGCTTAGTTATGTCAAAAAATAGTACAAATACATGGTTTCTAAGAACTGAATTGGGGTGATCAGCCTGCCAGAATGACTAATGAAAATAAAAATGCCCTCAGCTTGGAACAGTATCTGATTCTAGAACAAAAATGTTTCTCTTTTCTCCCACCAAGATCTCATTTCTAGGATCCCAGTTTTCTGGATTGCCTGCATAATTGTATCTTTCCTTCAAGTTGTAACTTAGTTTGTATTTTCAAGCTTAAGAAAATAATGTGTTTTATCTGTGATGGTGGAAATATCATGGTGACCTATAGGACTAAATGACACCTTAATAGGTAAGGGACTGATATACAAAATTATACAAGACAGATATATATCTATATATCTATATAGCTATATATACCCTCACTGGAGAAGAAAGATGCAAGATACCTCTACCAATCCCTACTACAGATAGATAGATAGATAGATAGATAGATAGATAGATAGATAGGCAAGTGGCGGCAGTGCCCGCCCCCCCTCCCCCGCACCAGCTGGGCAAGTGACAGCAGCACCTGCCCACCCCACCTCCCTGTGCCAGCTGGCAAGTGGCTGCAGGGCAGAGCCCCCACTCCCAGAGCTGATGCAGGCACAGCAATGCTGGGAGCAAGGGCTATTCCCTGCTGCCACTTGCCCCCTTCCACCCGGAGTGAGCTGTGCCTGCATCCCATCCCTCCCTGCCCTGGCTGGGCAAGTGGCAGCAAATCCCTCCCCCATGCCCTTTCCCTCCCCCCACCACAACATATTTACCAGCTGGAAGCAGCTGTGTCCAGCATGGCAAGGACTGCTCCCTGTTTAGTCTATGGCTGAATCTCCAAAGAGGCACTGAATCTTCGGATCTGATTTGGCCCAATCGAATTGGGACAGTGATTCAAATCTCCCAGTCAAATCACTGTCCCTCCAAATTGGCCGAATTCAAATCCAAAGTGAATACTTGCCACTTCGCACAGATCTAATAGATAGAGAGATGGTAGGGATTGGTAGAGTCTATATATATATATATAGCCTCTATTTTATAGATATATATATATATATATAAAAGCCTGAGAGAGAGAAACAACTAATGCACTACATAGTAACTTGGTGAATCTAGATAAGAAATCTTAATTATCTCTCTCTTACACAACATAAGCTTGATAAATGGCATCTAGCAAGCATTTGCTGAAGAAGGCTAATTCTGGGTGCTAGATAAGCAATGGAAAAGTTGTTTTCTACTCCTCATGATAATTTTGAGACCTTTCTTCATGTGCCATTTGCATTGATTTGTGTTTCTTACTGAGCCTAGTAACCTTATTACAAAAGATGATTCTTGTATTTTTGGTTTTCCTGGCAAATGTGCCTACAGTTTCCCCAAGATCTGGTGTATGTTTGATTTGCATACATTTGAAAAGTATTGAACAGGAAATAGCAACCTGCAGACAGACGCAGACTAAGAATGCCAATATAAACACTTCAGCAGAGTACAGATGACGGTTTAGATTCGAGTTCTCTTCTGAGCATTGAAAATTATCGCTGACCCGTCCCAAGATCTAATGACTAACTTTAGAGCAATGTTGGGAGGTTCTAAAAAGACCTCACCAGGTGCCTTAGTGGATATTACAGTTGCCATCAGACTTACTAGTTGCAGCATATTGTATCATGAATAACTTTAATGATGCCTCTATAGAGCTTTGGGAATCTGATATTTCTTGTTCTTCTCGTTAGCAGCAGTGTCACAGAGGAGCCTAGTTTCTCT